AAATATGGTAAGTACTTCTTTTGAATATATTTTGTGACTAATATCCTTTTTGGTGTTTATATTATTTCTTCTTTGTTTGTTCATAGTGATTATGAGTAAAATCTATGAGAGGTAAAGGGCCTGGATCATGTTTGCTCTGAGGGACTCAGAACAAGGATTAACTAACAGATTCTAGATACTACTCCATTCTGTTGTGGGTGTAGGAGAACGCCAAGGGATGGAGCGCGTGGTGGTGGAATTAAGCTGGTATCAGATGAGTCCTCGATGATTCAGTTTGCAGTAGTTCATTGTCATCTTCCGTGATCCATCCAGTTTTTTCAGGGGCCAGACTGGTGAATTAAATGGGCATATATGATGGAGACCACTAGCCCTACATCTTCCACACTATTCTCTGCCACCCCCCTGCAGAGTTACTCTCTTGGCCAGAGAGTGCAATTTCAGGGGCTTCCACTTGGCTTTCTCTGCTATGATAGCTCTTAGTCTACAAGTCAAGGAACCAGCTGCTAAGTATGACTATTTGAATATTACATTTGGGAACCAGGGAAATGACCCCGGTGGGCCCAGTGGACCCAGTGAGGGACATGGGTCAGGATCCAATGTGTTACTTGACCCCCCTAGCAATAAGGGAGCCCTGAGGCTGCATTAGGTCCCTACCTGTCTGCATTAACTTGGGCTCTGTGACCAAAAGCCTGGAAATATCTGAGGAGTCTTCTTTCCCCAATGTATAATTATCGACTAAATTAAATGACCAGAGGTCCCTTTGGAAGATCACTATTATGTACACTTGCCATGGATCTGCCTTCTCCTTTACTGGATGGGTGTTTGGATCTGAGAACTGGCTCTGGTGGGGGAAACTGGGCAGGTGATTGTGTTTTTCCACTGGGACCTCAGTCTTCTTCACCACTAGGTTTTATATATATAGACATACATCCTTTGATTATGTATGTTGTGCTTTTCTTGACTGCCCATCTGTCCTGCCCCAAGTTCTATTAGCCACCTCCGTGGAGCCCTGCAAGCCAGGGGCCCCTCTCTGTCACTCTGACTTCCTTCTGGTAGGTAAGTGCTGCCACCCAGCCTGTCACTCCAGAATCCTATCATCTCCTTTGCTACTGGAGAGCCAGGTTCGGTAACAGTATCCCCTGTTCTTAGCCCTGGCCTACAGATGACAGCCACCACTGAGTGTCACTTTCCCAGCAAAGCTCGTGTTGCCCCCATTTCCTATGGTGTCGGCAAAGTGTCTTCCAGACCTTGTCATGGAACGTAGCAGCTGGCAGCATGCGTGTAAGCATGTCCACTTCCCTGAGCATGCTGCTGCCTTCCTTCACCATCTGCCATGCAAGCCATTGCGTCGCAACTTCATTTCGCACAGGTTACTTCTTTGCCAAGTACGATCCCTATCATGTATCAGAACTAGCCCACCTGCACCCCTAACAAAGTGTTAGATCTATATTCTGGGACAGTGCCCCAAATCTAAAAACTCTCCCTTACCCCCTGTCTCCATCCCCTTGATCTACTTCACTCGGGATCCATTCCCAGGCTTATTTGCAGTTCCTGCTGGTATATATGTTAGCTTGGTCCTGTGGCTCCTTCAATTAATAATTCCATTCCTCCCTTAGCAGACCTAATATTTCCCCACTCAGGTCATACTGGGACCTGACTTTAGTGATTAGTCTGGTGGCCAGGGGGAGATGGGAGTATAAAGAATGCATTGTCTTGTAGGGGACTTGCCTCATTTGTGGTGTCTGCATAGTCTTCAGGTTGGTGGCACCATCCTCTAAGAAGTGGGATTGGGCCACTTCTGCAGAGTTTGGTGGAGCCCGAAGTTCTACTGACATTAGATTCTCATCCCTAGTCTCGGGGTCTCACTCCTTGTCAAAAGAGTCCTGACTTTGGTGTTAGAGACTGACTGAGAATTCAACCTTTTCTAAAATTCTACCCCTTTTAAGTCTTGAGCCTGTTCCTTAGGACCATCTGCCCCCTGACTACAGATGACAAGAACAGGTTGCTATGGAAGATCTCTGGCTTTTATGATTTGCTTTATGTTGGTGACTGATTGTCCAGAGCCCATCACTTTTCTTCTTTAAAGCATCTGTGGCTACCCAATTTTACAGTTCTAAATACTACTTCCCTTGCATCCTCAAATACCAGAGAGTCTGAAGGGCAACACATCCCCTTCTACCCTAGTTCCCCAAGGTGGGAGCTTGACACCACTGCCTAGCTGTCACTGTCCCACTTGTTCCCTGGAATCCTATCTTTATACTCTGCTTCTTAGGACCATTCCTGGTATACACTTATCTTAAATCAGGCTACCTAGAAGTGGGGCTTGAGAGAGAATTCAGGTGTGTGTATTGCGTACTCTTGGGAGGAAGGCAATGAGAGGGCAGCAAAAGGAGGTAAGCAAGGATACAGTCTTGGTGGGAGAAGAGGCTCCCCTTCAGCCAAGAATAGTGCTTAGGAGAAGGGGCAGCTGTGAGTTATTAGCAGCTAACATTGATAGTGGCTGGGAGGGGAGGGGTGGAATATTAACAGTGCCCACGGCAGGCTCCCTGTCTGGAGGTCCTCAGAAATTCTCATTCATCCCTCTTTGACACCTACTGCTCTGTGATCACCCAGGCTAGGGGGTGGGACACTTGGAATCAGCTGGCCTTTAGCCAACTAAGGATAGTTTTGGTAAAGGAAGCAAGCTGAGTAATTTCTGTAGGTCATACAGCCTGTAAGAACAGAGGCAAAGTGAAATCTTCTCCAAATAGCATTCACTTTGGATTAAGCTCTGGTCTGGAGAAAAACAATTTTGTGGGTCTAGTTTGCTTACTTTCTCAGCCAAAGACCCAGCTGTTTGAAGGCAGGGACTTATCAATATTCTTTGTAACTTCTCTATTTATGTTGTCAGTTTGCTCTAGAGTAAGTGAAACTGAAAATCTAGAGGAAATACTTCTATTTTTGCTTTGGTGGCATGGAGGAAGGTAGAACGGGGAAGTGCAATTCCCCTCCCCAGAGCCTGTTCTGAGTAGAGAACTTCAAGGGATGATTTTTTAAAAAATTCCTTTTCCTACCTAAGTTGCTCAGGTATTCTACAGAGATTTAAGGAGCTGACTGAAGGTTTGTCAGGTGTGAAACGGAAAATGAAATTAGGAGCCAAATTTCTAATGTGATTTCCAAGAGAAGCATTTTGAAATACCACAAAGCTCAGATGAATATTGAAGATTTGGCGTTTCGGTTCCTTTCCATTCTGATTTAATCATTTGAAAGTCATTTGGAAAAGGCAAGCAAATTCCTGAGTCCATCCCTATAGCTGTTCTGTTCTTAGAAAACTCTTAGCAGTGTTGAAAGGGCTGTGAAGGTGAAATTCCATATCCATTCATCAGCAAGAAAGTTGCAGTGTTAATCCTGAAAGTGAGCACTGAATTTTGGAGGTTTGAAATTCACCTTTCCCCTGTTGTTTTCTCAGAGTACTTCAGCATTCTGCTCCAAACATACAACTGAGATATATATCTATATATAATTACTTGAGTAATTTCTTTCCATAGTAGTAGCGAAATAAGTGCTATCATAAAAGATATGTGCAGCTGGGCATGGTGTGCTATGCCTGTAGTTCCAGCTACTTGGGAGGCTGAGGCAGCAGGATCCCTTGAGCTCAAGAGTTTGAGGCCAGCATGAGCAACATAGCTAGACACCGCCCCCGCCCCCAGAAAACATATATGCACCCCATAAGGGGAGTAATACGATTCTGATGGGGGAATCACAGAAGACTGCGTGGAAGAGAAGGCATGGATAGGCTTTCTTCAAGAATATAGGCGTGGGGTGGGGCAGGGTGCTGGAGTTTGTAAGAAAGTCTGTTATGGCTAGAACACATAAAAGAGGAAAGGGAACTTGGGGCTTTCGATGCCAGGCTAAGGAGTTTAGACTTTTCTGCAGGCCAAGGAAAGCTCTGAAGAGGGAAGAGTCACACGATCTGACCTGTGTTTTTTAAAGCTCACCCAGGCCACAGTACAGGGTGGATAGGGTGGAAAAGTTGTGCGCATCAGAGATGAGACTGTTGAAATGGGCTTGGTGAGCGAAGAAAGGTTGACTCAGGAGGGTCAGCACCACAGCCTGTGGGTAGGTAGGTCAGGTGGACCTGACTTGATGTAAGGGGTTAGCTCTGGCGGGGAGGGAGAGAGGCAGTGAGAGAGGAAGGCCTGGTCAGTGCAGGAGAGTGTCCCCTCCTTAAAAAAAGCAGGGAGGAGCAGGGTCACGGTGGAGGCAGATGCGACGACGAATTAGTTCTCGGTTAGGCCTCGGGGTGGGTACGTCCAATACGGGATTGGACGTACGGAGCTGGCACTCAGAGCAAGAGCTGGTCCAGTTGCCCCCCGAAGTGTGTAGAATGCTGGGATTTGAGGTGAAATCTTGACGAGGTGAAGAGGTCTACCTCTTTCCGGAGTCAAGTTTAAAAATCTCCCTTTCTTGTAACAGCGTGTGAGTCTACGGACAGTCCAGGGTACTTAAAGGCTGCGTCTGCTAGGCCGAGGGACGCGAGCGGTAGTCGCAGAGGGGGAAGCGCACAAGGAAGAGGTTTGCACGGAGCCAGGTCCATTTTGGGGGTTCTAGCCCTGCTGCTCCAGGCGCCCCGGGCCTAGCCTCCGGGCTCGCTGCAAGGCAGAGGCGCAGGCCCAGGGTCCGCTAGCCGCAGCGCGCCGAGCGTCTCTGCTCGCGGAACGGCCAGCGGAAGGAGCCCTGCCCCCGGCCGGCGCCGCGCGCCTGCCAGCCAATCAGCGCGCCCCCTGCGCAAGCCGGCCGGCGCTCTGGTGACGCGCAAGGCCTGCCTTCGCCCGCAGCCCTTTGGCGACGGCCCCTCCCGCGCCCGTCCGGCCCGTTAGCTGCGCGCCGCGCCTCTTGTGCGACGGCCCCTGGGCGGCGGCGCGTGCAGGCGGCCTTGGCGCGCCCCCTAGCGGCCCGGAGGGGCGCTGCGGGCGCGGCGCTGACCCGGAGGCGGCGGCGGCGGTGCCCGGATGGAGGCACGTCATTGTCCCCCGCCGGGCGGCTGGGCTGTGTGCGGCGGCAGCGGCGGCCGAAGGGGATGGAGCGAGCGCCGAGCCGGGTCAGGTAAGCTCCCGCCTCCTTCTCGCCTGCCGCAGGCTGGCGTGGGGCTCGCGGAGCGCCCCGCTCGCCTCGGCCGCAGCTGGCCCGGGCGACCCTCAGCCGGCGCGGCCCGCGGGGGGCTGGCGCGGCCCCTCGCGCGCCGCCCCCTCCGCAGCCGCGGGCCGCCCGGGACCCCGCCGTGCCGGGGGCAGCGCCGCCACCGCCCGGCCGGGCCAGGCCGCTAGGGAGGGGGCGGCGGCCGGCGGCGGTCGGGCGCCTGGAGCACCGGGCGGCGCGGAGAGGCCGGGCCCCCCGGTTGCCATGGACACTGCTCTCCCACCCCCACCCGGCCCCAGCCCGCCCCCTCGGCCCGTGGGCCGGGCGGGCTGGCGGGAGGCTCCAGGGCGGCCTGGCCAGCTTGGGTCGGCCGGGTGGGCGTGTGCTGGTCGCGGACCGTGGAGCCCGGCCCGCCCGCCGCCCCCCGCGTGGCTGCCACCTTCCGCCCCCGAACGCCCCTCGGAGCTCCGGGCTCGCCTCCCCACCCCCACTCCATCACTAACAGAGAGACAAACTTTCCCACCCCGGGCACCCCCTCCCCGGCCCGCCCTCGCGGGGCCGAACACCTGGCTCCTCCGCCGAGTGTCCGAGTGGCCCACGCCGGCAGCCCGGGAGGAGCGGCACCCCGAGGGGAGGCTGCGGCGGGCGCGGGGAGAGGAGGAGCCGGGCGGCGCGTCCCTAAAAGCATGTGTGCCTCCGTCACGTTCTTTATCTGTGGGGCAGGAAGAGCCAACTTACCTGGAAGGCGGGGGGATCAGTTTCAGATGTTGGAAATGAACATTTGACGGGACAAGTTTTACAATCTAGGACTTTAACCGGCCTGTAATGAATGCAGTTGAGATTACTTTTGTTGAATAGCTCTTATATTCACGGAGGCCTTAGGCTTGCTTGTTTATGGGAAAATATGTTGGTTATTTAAAGTAAATACATTCAAATAATAGTAAAACTGTTTGAAAAACTGTTTAGTTAACGCGTCTTTTTCAAGGTAACAGCAGTATTATAGGTTCTCATACATTTTTTGTAGAGTCTTAATATTTTTCAAAGAGTTGTAAATTTTAAACATAATTCTACTCTTTTTGCTGTATTACTCATTCAGTGTGCCTAAAGGGTATGAATAATCAGTTTCACTTATTTGTTTTTAATTAGGGTCAGTTTCACTTTCTTTTCTATATCATTGGTTCAAGTCTACACTAAGTATTTGGTTTGTAAAGGTTAAGGCTAGTTGTTTTGTTTACTTAAATATCAGTAAAATCAAGGTTGTGTCTTTTTAAAGCTTGTGTGTTTTTCTCTTAAGATGGAAATGCTACAAGAACGTGGATTACATTGTTTATGAAGAAACAGTGTAACAGTTTCTTTTAAATGTGTTGATATTATTGCCTCAGTGTATGTGGAGTGGCACAATGTTTAGATAGTGATATTCTTTTAAAAAAATGAAAAAAGAGTAATGCATTCTAGCATTTGATCATCACAAGGGAGACACGCCACATAAAGGACTGGGAATTTTAAGGCTTTTGGGTAAAAGATTATAGTACTCAAAGCAAAGGAAACACTTGTGAAGTCTCATTCCTCCACACACATCCAACCTTGATTCGTGTTTGTGGTGTTGCTTTTTATTATTATTTTTTTTTATTTGGTAGAAAAGGGGGCTCTCTATGTTGCCCAGGCTGGATTTGAACTCCTGGGCTCAGGTGATCTTCCTGAGTAGCTGGGACTACAGACACAACTGTGCACTGTTGTTTTTTTAAAACATGCTCTTGAAACTTTGTGTATAGCATCAGATGATGTTGAGAGAAATTTGAACTTTTCATTGAAATAGTTGCTTAAAAGCCCTGATATTTATAACAGTAATATTTAGAAGTTTTACTGAGAGTAAAGAACATATAAAACTTATGAATCCTAAGTCGTACACAACATTGTTTGACTTCAAGAAAGGTTATGTCTGTAGCAAATGGAGTTGAGTTTGATACCTGATGGCTGAATATACAAATCAAGAATGGATGGTTTGGGTCCGTCTTTCCAAAATTATAATGCTATATGTTTATTGATGATGTGAGTTGTGTTTTCCTTAAATTTTTTTCATTTAAGAGGCTTTTTCCCTTCAAAGAGGTAATTGGAGCAAGTAAAATGGTTTTATTTGGTCATTTCTTTTTTTTTTTTTTTTTTGAGACAGAGTCTCACTCTTTTGCCCGGGCTAGAGTGAGTGCCATGGCGTCAGCCTAGCTCACGGCAACCTCACACTCCCGGACTCAAGCAATCCTCCTGCCTCAGCCTCCCGAGTAGCTGGGACTACAGGCATGCGCCACCATGCCCGGCTAATTTTTTCTATATATTTTTAGTTGTCCGATTAATTTCTTTCTATTTTTAGTAGAGATGGGGTCTCGCTCTTGCTCAGGCTGGTTTCGAACTCCTGAGCTCAAACAATCCGCCCGCCTTAGCCTCCCAGAGTGCTAGGATTACAGGTGTGAGCCACTGCACCCAGCCTGGTCATTTCTTAATGATTGTCCTGAAGGGATGTTTATCCTGGGAAAATCAAGGTTTCTGCTATTTAGTATTATTGTAAATAAAGCTGGATTAACCTTTTCTTATTACTCTCTTTTGGCTTTCTTCTTCCTCCTTCTCTTCCTCCTCTTCTTTTGTTTTCTTTCCTTTGTCCCACCCACACTGTTTCATAATTTCTTTTGACTAGTAGATGAGGAAAGTGTAAACTTTATTTGGATGATACAGCTCAAGCTTTCTTCCTGGATGAGGATCATATATCTTTAACTGATTTAAAATTTTAATTCAGTTTTTTTCTTAGTTCAGTAAGATCTCACATCTTTTCTATTTCTACATAAGAATCAAAAAACTTTAAAGTTGTACTTTTTTGGGTGGTAATCTTAATTAAAAATTACCAGCCAGGCACAGTGGCTCACACCTGTAATCCTAGCACTTTGGGAGGCCAAGGCAGGAGGATCCCTTGAGCTCACGAGTTCAAGACCAGCCTGAGCAAGATCAAGATGCTGTCTCTACTAAAAATAGAAATATTAGCCAGATGTTATGGTGCAAGCCTGTGGTCCCAGCTACTCAGGAGGCTGAGGCAGGAGGCTCTCTTGAGCCCAGGAGTTTGAGGTTGCTGTGAGCTAGGCTGATACCATGGCACTCTAGCCCGGACAACAGAGTGAGACTCTGTCTCAAAAAATAAAAAAATTAAAAATTACAAACAATGAAATCGAGGCTTTTAAAATAACAAACTTATTGTGAGCAGTCAGTACATGATCTTTGTCGAAGTGGCAGGTACATGGGTATTTTATTATCCATGCTTCACAGTATGGATAATACTTTTTTGTACTTTACAGTATATTAAATATTTCTTAAAACAAATTTTAAAGGCCGTCCAGAGTTTTTTAAGGATTAAATGAGGTACTGTATATACATCACTCAGCACAAGCTGGTGCTAAAAGCAAATGCTAGTTGCTGCCTGTTTCCAGAATTTGTTCATTCATTTGTTTAACACATGTATGGGAAGCTTTCTCTGTACCAGGTCAGGGGATATAAATAAGAACGTGGTAGATCAACAAGTAAAACAGATGTGGCGTAAATGCTGATGGGCTACCATAGACATCAGCACGAGGGTGCTGTGGAACCTTTTAGGAGGGGTTCTAAACCAGTCTTGGGGGAAGGAGGTTGTTAAGGAAAGCATCCCAGAAGAAGTGAATTTTAAACTGAGAATGGCAGTGTTAACTGGCTTGAAGGTGCAGGGATGGAAAAGAGTAGGCAAAGAGCAGCATGTGCAGAGCCCGAAGAGAGCAGGAACAAGAAATGAATTCAGTACAGTAAGGAGTGTTCTAAGAGGTTACTAGGTCAGACACTGCCAAGTCTAGGTGTTGAGATATTGTGCTGTGGGCAGTCAGGGCACTCCTGAGAAATTTTCTACAAAGAAGTGGCACATCTACATTTGGCTGCTGTTGGGCAATTTCAGAAATATTCCTAAAAGTACTCTGTTGACTAGGTGGCATAGCCAGAAGGAAGTGCAGCTGGCAGTGTTCAGCCTGGCTCCTAGTTCCAGTTGCTTCATTTTATATACCCTATGGATTCTGTCTTGTCTCTCACAGGTTCATTGTGAAAATTAAGCAAGTTAATGTATGTTCAGCAACTAACACAATACACAGCACACAGAAAATAGTGGTAGCCCTAAGATTTTAAATTAGGATTCAGAGAGAAAATTATAATTAGGGACTTTCGTAATATGTATCTGTGTTCAAGTTTGATTTCAGTAATGTCTACGGGTTTCATTTAAAAGTTATACATACCATATAAATGAGCCTCTTCAGAAAAATGGGTTTCAAAGGTGAGACTTTCTATAACTATAATTTTTTAAAAAATGTATTTCCTACAATGTCATTTTGGACTTTCAGCACAAAATTAAGTCTAGATTTTCTCTTCACGTAGTCAGGCCTTTTCCCTGAGGAATTATATACGAATTGAAGATTTAGTCAGATGTCTTGGTCTGTGTTTCTGGTTGTAAGCAGTAGAGAAGGAAAAATAGGTACTTAGCAAATAGAGTTGGAAACTAAAGTGCCTGATTATAAACTGAAATATCAGACTTTTAGGGTGAATGGAATAGAATGAGAAGTTCTAATCAAATACTTCATTGAAGATTTTAAAATAAAAATTGTTGTTATATTTAGATTAGCATGATGCTCAATGTCCCAAGGAAATTATTACAAAAATGTTAGAAAATACTGTTGTTTTTATATTTGGGTGATATGTTTGAAAATAATTTAAAATGACTAGAATAATTCTCTAGAATCTGATGGTAGCTAAATAATTACTTTTTTCACCTTATCAAACATATGTGTGCTTTCATCTTTTCCAGAGTTGAACAATGACCATAGTTGACAAAGCTTCTGAATCTTCAGACCCATCAACCTGTCAGAATCAGCCTGGCAGTTCTGAGGCAGTCTCACCTGAAGCCATGGATACAAGTTCTGCCAGCTGGGGTGCTGTGTCTTCATTAAATGATGTTTCAAATCACACACTTTCTTTAGGACCAGTACCTGGTGCTGTAGTTTATTCGAATTCATCTGTACCCGATAAGTCAAAGCAATCACCACAAAAGGATCAAGGTACTATTTTTTAAAAGACAGAATCTCTGCCATAAACTCCTGTGTAAATGCTGACAGTTGGTGGGCAGTGTTAGAGAGGGGCCTATTTGGCAAGGCCTGTTGCCACTTGAGTGACTGGCAGAGTTGCATTACTTAATGAGTTTCATTTTCCTCGGTTACTTGTTCATGATTAACATATATATCACACAACAAGATAGATTATTTTGAGTTGCTAGAATATTAGTACTTTCTTTTACTCCTAATTTTTTGAAGAATAAACTTTATCTTGGTGTGAATTGAGACAGACAAACATTACATTAACTTTCAGTTAACCAGTAGTTGTTATAATTCCCTAAGTAGGTAGATATCTGTCTTTTAAAAATTCAAAAATGGTCTTTTAAAAATGGTTGCCTTTTGACAAATGGGCTCTACCCAGCTTTTTTTTTTTTTTTTTTTTTGCTAGTTAGAGTTGACTGTAATAATAAAGCTCGGTCTAGGAGCAGATAATTTAAATGTTACATTTGTTAAAATAATATAAATTGGTTACATTTGTTAAAATTCATCCAGATAAATGAGACATTGACACTTTTAGTTGGTACTTCTAAGACTTTTGGATTTGAAGACTTCAAGATTTGAAATGCACAGAAAGGTAATAGAATTAGTTCCTACTTGGAATGTTGTTTGACTTAAAATAATTTGATCCTCATATTGTTTTGAGTTCTCGTAGTCAGTTTCATACTGCCATATATGGGAGTGGGTGATGTCATTTGCTGCAGGTGTTTTTTGAGGGAGAGTTTATATCATGAAACAACTTAATCAAATGTTTCGCACAGTGGTTTAAAGTCCTTAGGCTCCTTACCTGCAAGACTTTCCCGCAGGACCCTTTTCTCCACTGGCTTCATCAGCCTTTGATCATGTTGCTGGGGGCTCCTTTCTCTCCGTGTTCCTTGGGACCTAGCTCACATCTCCTTGCTCTGTCCCTTTTTAGGGTCCTTGTCCCATTTTCCACAGACACTGTTTTCCTAATTTTGCTCTCCATTCCCCACCAAGCCAAAGCCTATCTTTGCATACTTAAGTAACCATTAATATTTCTACTCAAATAGAGAATCATCTGTAGAGCATCTCATCATTGTGTAGCACTGAGGAACTGGCAAGCCTTTGAAAAATTAGTCTTGTTATTGATGATTTTGAACTTTTCTAAATAATTTGTTTGTTGAGCTTTACCTGAGTTCTGTTAGTATACTTAAATCTGTTTATAAGTGTTAAAAATAGATAAAATCTTTTTAGGTCACATATAGTATAATGTATTTACAAGTGTTTAGAGTGGTACCTGACAGCCTGAATTCAAAGCCTGTTTCCTTCGTGGTAAAATGGGGATGACATCAGTACCAACCATTAGGATTGAGACTGTGTGACTCCTAGTAAGGGCTTAGCACATGAGGTGATGGTGAGGAGGACGGTGATAGTGGTGGTACTGAATCAGCATCCATAGCAAATGTTATAGGGACTTGACTTATCCTGAACTTTGTATTGATTGTGGTGTTTATTTTTAAAACTGTTTATTATGAAAAATTTTAAGTAGATATAAGAGAGTTATTATAGTAAATTCTCATGTAGCTATCAGCCAACTTTGACATTTGTCAACTCATGGCCAATTATACCTCCCCCTACTTACCCTCTCCATTATTATTTTAAACCAAATCCAATACTTCATATTTCATCTATAAATATTTTAGTGTTGTATATCTAAAAGATTATTTTCTAAAAATTAAAAATGTCTATTAAAAATCTAGTCAATGTTCATATTTCCCTGGTTGTCATATAATTTTTTTTTAAGCAATGGTTATTCAAAGCAACATCAAAATGAGATCTACATTTTGCATTTGGTGAATATGTCTCTTAAGTTTCTTTTAATCTGTAACCTGCTCCCCTTTTTGTCCTTGCAATTTATTGAAGAAAGCAAATCACTTAAAGTTTTTCATATTCTGGGTTCTGTCTTTTAAAATGTGTTTTTCTCCTTGGTATTTAGCTGGTAGAGATACAGAATCTTGTTCACATTCAGGTTTGAGTGTTGGTGTTTATTTAGCTTCAGAAGCACCCAAAGCTTTGTTTTTAAATGATTGTTATTTATTTTTCTAGCCCTAGGTGATGGCATTGCTCCTCCACAGAAGGTTCTTTTCCCATCTGAGAAGATTTGTCTTAAGTGGCAACAAACTCATAGAGTTGGAGCTGGGCTCCAGAATTTGGGCAATACCTGTTTTGCCAATGCAGCATTGCAGTGTTTAACTTACACGCCACCTCTCGCCAATTATATGCTGTCACATGAACACTCCAAGACATGTAAGTGTTCTGTGTTACGATATTTTTGTAGTATCGTGATATGCTAACCTACTTTCATTTTTTCTCTGAAATGAAAGTGAAGAATTAAGCCAAGAATTATATGACTAAGAAGTTATTCTTTTAGTAACCAAGGAGGAAGAATCTTATGATTTGTATTCAGGTTGCATAAAAGGCATTTTGCACCTAATTTGACCCATGAAGGTATTTAAAAAGAAACATATTTTATCATCATTTGGCATTTCTGAACTCTCTGCTGGTTTTCTCCACTTACTATGAAAAAGTAAGTGACATAAATGATATTAACCACTTGGGACAAGCAGGGTTAAGACATCCTACCCCTCCTGGCATTCATCCTGTGTTGGAAGGCTTGATTCATTTACAGGCTTGTAAGCCTTAGAGGAGAGGAACCCTCTTCCTGCTGCCTCCGACCTTCTAGAATTCATGTAGGATTTTCTTACCATCTTCAAACCACAGGTCAGGAAATCAGTTAAAACTTACTAAAATGTCTTTAATTAAATAGAAACCAACGCAATGGTCAACTGTCAAAATTCAAAATTTAGAACATGTGCTTTTGAGGTTTTGACCTACATGTACCATAAGTATCCTTCAGCTTTTATAAATGGGGCTCCCTGTTCTTTCATCTAAATTGATTACTCAGATTCATGTATGTATGTTCTGGTACTATTCATTAGTTATTAGGATGAAAAACTTGGTTTCTTTTTGAGTAGTTCTTTACTTAATGTAGAATTTAAACTGATTCTTTTAAAATTGTTTTTTTCCCTCAAAGAGCAAAGTAATGGTTTTAAAGAATTTGGAAAGTACAGAAAAATTTAAACAAACCAAAAAAAAAAATTACCTAGAATCTCACCCCACCTAGCGGTGTTTATTATGCCAAGGGGTTTTAAATTACAGAATGAAAGAAAATATGAGAAAAAAGAAGA